CTTCATGGGTCTTTTTGTTACATGCATATGGTAAGGCCGGTTGCCTCGCTGGGAGGTTGGACACACCCACCTCTGCACCTGGTACCAGGCTCTGCACCCCGCACCAGGCTCTGCCGCATGGCTCCCCTGGAAGGCTCCAGCTGATGCAAGGCTCCTGGCTGGCTCTCTCACCGGAAAACCCACCCAACAACCCGGCAGCCAATGGTGGCATGCCCCGTCTCAATCCTGCTCCCCTGGAGTCAATCAGAGCACCCAGCTGTTGCTCGTTCCTCCTACCATAAAAACCCCACGCCCCAGGAAGTTGGTACGACTTCCCTGGCCCCTTCCCCCAGGACCATGGAACCTCGCCTGGGAGCTAAATAAATTGGCATTTAATTTTCTTATGCTGGTCTCAGTTTCCTCACTCTAAACTGGGCAATAACCCTTACACGTATGCATGGAACAAGTGGCCCAGTGTGCTCTTTAGAACAATTATAAGGTCGTCATTATTCTGGATGATGATTTTAGGTTTGGATGATAAATGTTTTGTTTTGGTTGTGTATGTTTTTGTATGTGGTCAAGTTTGAGCTAAGTCTCTGCAATTTTCTTACTTTCCAGGAAGGAGTGAAATATTTCTTAACTCGGTAGGAATGTAGTGAATTACAGTGTTTGCTTATCCTTGCAGAGTGGAGAGTGTTTTTTGCCAGAGCAATTGTTTGCAAGAGCTGCCAGCGTAGAGGACTACAGAAGGACATTCAGGCAGAATATTCATCTCTCCCTAGAAGACAGCCTGTGAAAGAGAACTATATGTTCAATGGACAGCTTTTTCCTCCAAGTGGCATTATTGAAACATAATGACCCCAAAGCCCTTGAGACTATTGTGCTCTGATGGGACTGGTGTACTGGGTACCACTGGGTGTGATCATAGGCTTGGAGTGAGAGCTGGGTTTCCCGGGGGAACAGGTGTCCCATCATTGGTCACCAGGGAGGAGCAGGTGTTGGGCAGGGAGGCAGCTTGAGAATCTCATCTCCTTTCTGGGTCTCAGGAAGGGTGGGGCCGGGATTCTAGGCAGAGTAGACCTGATTCGAGGGCACTTGCAATGTGTACATTTGTGCCAGCTCATACGACGTGACAGGATAGGAGCCCTGTAGGAAGACAGTGCAGCTTTGTCCAGCAGAGTGCAGCCAAGCTGTGTGTTAAAGGACAGGACCCTGAGCACCCTGCTGTGGAAGAAAGGCATGCTTGTTTCTTTACACAAAGGTACCACCTACTAACCAAACCCTCTGCCTCAGAAGGCCATGCCCATCAAGTGGGATCTCCATCTTCTAATGTATGTGCCTGCCTTGAGGGTGGGGAGAGGGGACATAGTTTCTTTTTTTTTTTTCTGCCACAAAGAAGACATCTTCTTCATGCCAAGCCATCGGTCTGCTTAAGGTGGATAGAATTTTGTCACTGGGCATTTCTAAATATAAGTCTGAGGATCCTGAAATTCACAACACAATATCTTTTAACTGTTATTATTCTCTGCCTTATTCTTGCTCTCTCTCTTTTTTAGACGGAGTCTCACTCTGTCACCCAAGCTAGAGTTTAGTATTGCAATCTCAGCTCACTGCAACCTCTGCCTCCCAGGTTCAAACGATTCTTCTGCCTCAGCCTCACAAGTAGCTTGGACTACAGGTGTGCGCCACTACACCCGGCTAATTTTTGTATTTTTAGTAGAGATGGGGTTTCACCATATTGGCCAGGCTGGTCTTGAACTTCTGACCTCATGATCTACCCACCTCGGCCTGCCAAAGTGTTGGGATTACAGGAGTGAGCCACCATGCCCCGTCCTCTTTTGCTTTTTAAAAATTAAAATAGAGACGGCATCTCGCTTTGCTGCCCAAGCTGGTCTCGAACTCCCAGGCTCAAGCAATCCTCTCACCTTGGTCTCCAGAAGTGTTGGGATTATAGGCATGAGCCACCTTGCCCAGCCCTTTCTTTCACTTTTGAATGTTTAGTAAACACTTGTTAAGAGTCAGAGATTTACAGAGCTCCTACTGTCTACCAAAAACTGTTCTAGACCTTGGGGTTACAGAAGTGGGGGTGTGGGTGGGGTGCAAAAATTCCTGCCATTGTGCAGCTTGTATATTAGAGAGAGGATTGCACTCTGGGGAATCGGTGAATGCTGTGTCCTGTGCTTAGGATGGAAGGCAAAGGGAAGCCCAGTGTCCCTCATCCCAGGTGGTAGCAGCAGAGCCAGCTAGCTATGCCCTGCAGAGGGTCAGTCTCCTGAGTGTCATTAACATCAGGGAGTGATTGGGGTGGGGGTGAACAAACATTTGGAGCCTGGCACCCAGGGGGAATCTCAGAAATATCTGAGGAACCCTTCGAGAGTGCTAAATTCTACCGGAGTATTTAGGTATTTAATGGGTGTGTGAAGTTGCTCTGAGCAATTATATGTGGTTTTGCTTCCCTCTAACCAGCACTAATTCTGCGCTTTCCAGTCTGAAGATGGATCTTCTTGAATGAGAAATGGGAAGTAAAGTACAAATTGAGGAATTCTGCTTTTTCTGTTTAGTTTTGTTTTGAGGCAGACTCTCACTCTGTCGCCCAGGCTGGAGTGCAATGGCGCAATCTCTGCTCACAGCCACCTCTGCCTCCTGGGTTCAAGCGATTCTCCTGCCTCCGCCTCCTGAGTAGCTGGGACTACAGGTGTGCACCACCACATCCAGTGAATTTTTTGCGTATTTTTAGCAGGGACAGGGTTTTGCCCTGTTGGCCAGGCTGGTCTCAAACTCCTGACTTTAAGTGATCCGTACCTTGGCTTCCCAAAATGCTGGGATTACATGCATGAACCACCGTGCCCAGCCTGAGTTCTGCCTTCTTGCTATCATCTGTTAACAAAATACAATTAGCCCCAATTAGCCTCCCTTTTCTCTTGAGCTGTCTTGTCATCAAAAGTCTTTTCTCTGAACACTTCTGAACCCTGCTTTCTGAATGGGTCCTGCCAGAGCCCCGGATGCCACCAACTTTGCCAAAGCTTGCTCCTCTCAAGGTCCCTGTCACTTCTGCTTCTGCAGAGCACGATGCCTGCACTTAGGTACAGAGCAGCAGTCCCTCTCCTTTCTTTCTTTAAACTATGAAAGATGAAATTGTCAGCGTGAGGAGAATTTATCAGACACCCAGCATCTAGGAGAAGGAGATTCCCACCTATCCCCACTTGATCGCGCCTCGGCGCCAGCATTGTCAAATGTGTCGTCAGAAGGCCTGCTCATGCCTTTGAGCCCCGAGGGCAGAGCTACCCGCTTGTGGACAAGCAAGAAGAAAAGCCACAGCTCAGCAGCCAACAACCATCTGGTAAAATTCCACGTGCACCTTTGCGTCCACTGGCTCCTGCCCCTCGTCCATCCATCCCAGCAGACCCCTTCTGGTTCCTAGCCTCTGTTCCTAGGCCCTCCCTCTATTTGTCTGCCCATGTTTACAACCCACTTTCTAGATTTGTCTCACTTGTGCCACATGCTTTCTGCTGTTTGATTGACCTTGAACTCATATTTGTCTGCTCTTGAGTCAATCCATTTTGCTGCCAGTCCCTGCGCCCAGACGTGCCCGCTCCTGGAACTGCCTGCTGCCAGGGTCAGCCAGTTGCTGCTGCCTGGCTCTCGGCTTTCTACGCCTCCTGCCCCTGATTCTCCCTGCCACTGAGCTGCACGTGGCTCTCTGCCCTAACCCAGCACGTGGACTGTGATTCTCAGCAGCATGGCTTCCAGGCCTTATGTCTGTGCAGGCCACAGTCCTCCTTCCCTGCCTTACCGACTCCATGACTCTCTCTGCTCATGGTTTGTGGATTTTCAGACAGGAGCTCTCATCCTAACACATGGCCTCCTCCACTCCACTCCCTCCCAGCTCTGTCTTTTGAGAAAGGACCACTGTCCCATTGCTGCCAACCCCCCTGCCTGGGCTCAGTGAACCAGCACAGTCACGTGTGCTTTCCTGAGCTATGACCTCAAGGTCACTGTCTCAGTACCTAGTCTCTGTCGCCTGGGATGCCGACATCCAAGACTGCAAAGTTTTATTCTCTCTGGTTATTTTATTTCCTGTGAATTACTGGAGATTTCCTCCATTCTTCTTGTGGTTTCTATTTCTTTTCTTTTATCAGACTCTAATTTTGCTGCCTTAGCCAGTGCAATGTTTTGTCCATTCTTGGTTTTAAAAAATGACAGAAATTCAGTTCCAATAAGTGCCAATGATAGAGAGGATTCGTGGGCCCCTATAACCAAAACAAGAAGGGCAGGAACGGGGTTGGACATCAGTGGCCACTAGAACCAGAAGCTGGAGGCTCTTGTGATACTCTCTCCTCACCCTTCCCCTGCTTGCTGCAGGCAGCTCTATGCTCTCTGGCTGGCTTTCCTCTTAGGGCTGGAGGCTTTGCTGTTCAACAGGGCAGGGCTTGCTTCTTGGTTCTAAATACCTTTGAAAGCACCTGGTTAATATCTTAGAGGATTAGATCATCTCACAGTCCAAGGGAAATTGAGAGAAACCCTTATAGAGCCTCATCATTCGGGGGAATGTTCCTATGTGAAAGGATGTCAGTGCCAGAAAGAAGGGGTCTTGGCAGATAATCAATGTCCACTGCAGACCAAAGTTACATACCTCCAGGCTCTGACCATCTCTCATTTCTTCCCCTCTAAGTGCTCTTCCCCAAGTTAGGAGAAGTCTTCTAGTCCAGAGATCTTTCTGTTTGGCAACTTGGTTATGGAGAACGTGACCCCAGTGCACAAAGTTTTCTGTGAGTAAAATGTGGAAGGAATATATATTGGCAACAATGTTGGTGGGAAGAGAGAGGGAGGGGAGAGTCAGATTATGCTGTAGTTTTCACACGCAGCTCAGCAGATCTAGACCAAGTCTCTACCAACGTTTTTATTTACATAAGCTAACTCAAGCACGTCTTCGGGCTTTCATTATAACTGTGAGTGGACACCGCTCATAGAGACAGGTGGTTAGTGCTAGAGCAATGGTTTTCAGAGTTTCAGATGGAGTGGAACACCCTTTATTTATCACAAAGAAAATAGCATGAACTTTAATATGCAGAACAGATCAGACCAGATACGCTGTAGGTGAAGCTTTCCTTCTGGTATCCTCTGCAGAAACCTGAGCTTCACAGGACTCAATGAAAAAGCAACTGTAACAGAAGAGATAGATAAGTTATATTCTTTGTTTAGTTTATTTATGTCTGAATTTACTTTGAAACGCTTCAGCATTGGCAGTGTGATTTGCTTGTATATATGTTACTTAGATGTAATCTGCACCCAAGGGATGATCGCTTGCTGTAATTGGGAATGGATACTCCAGGGATGGTTAGCTAATATTTACCAAAGCAGCAGACAAGAGAGAAAATGAGAGCCAAGCAAAGGGGAAAACACTTATCAAATCATCAGAGCTTGTGAGACTTACTCACTATTATGAGAACAGCATGAGGGAAACCACCCTGTGATTCAGTTGTCTCCCACCGGGTCCCTGCCACAAACATGTGGGAATTACGGGAGCTGCAATTCAAGATGAGATTTGGGTGAGGACACAGAGCCAAACCATATCACCCGATAACAAGGCTAAGAAGGGGAAGAGCCAATAACCTCACCTACTCAAGGTTGGATCTGAATTTTGTGGGACCTGAAACTTACATACCTTTAGTCTTCTTTGAAAAAAAAAGTATTAAAAATTATAAGTGCAACATTATCTATGAAAATGAAAGTTTATACAGAATGAGAAAAGATTACTTCGAAAAAAAATTTTTTTTGATGGAATCTTGCTCTGTCACCCAGGCTGGAGTGCAGTGGCACGACCTTGGCTTACTGCAACCTCCACCTCCCGAGTTCAAGCAATTCTCCTGCCTCAGCCTCCCAAGTGGCTGGGATTATAGGCATGTGCCACCATGTCCGGCTAATTTTTGTATTTTTAGTAGAGATGAGGTTTTCCCATGTTGGCGGCTGATCTGGAACTCCTGACCTCAGGTGATCCATCCACCTCACCCTCCCAAAATGCTGGGATTACAGACGTGAGCCATCGTGCCCTGCCAATGACTTCAAATTTAAAAAACTTTACAAATACCATAAAATCCCCCAAATAACATAGTATTTCTATTAATTAATGGTTGACATGGCTGCGTAACGTATTTTCTTACTTTTTTGGCTGCGTCCTCTCTGACGTCATCTTCGTGTCATCACCATGTTGTAATAATTTCTATAGAGAGAATAAAATAATTCAGTGCTTCCTCTAACTTAGTTGATCAAAATTTTTTCTATGTTAATTTTTAAGATTCATAAAATATGCAACTTTAGTAGACAAGTTCACTATTTGTCGTTCTTCCACAAGGTTGTGCAAAATAAACAGAACAATTCTGATGAATTTAGTTTTGCATAATATCTTCAAAAAAGCAAACATCATGGACTGTTTATAATTGTATACATTGCATATAGAACACACTTCTGACAGAATGTCCTTCACTAGAAATGGATGAGAACAGAATCCTCCACTTAGAACTTTTTATGTCTTGATAGAAAGACACTTACAGAGATTAGTTTCTGGCTTTGCACAATTAAAACCTTCTTCTTCTCCTCTCCCTGTAAGGATCAAGCGCTGGGTGCCATAGCATAGGTTTGTGTTGCATAGGTGCTCTGGTTCTGTATTGTCCTGTTATATCCCTTGGTAAGTTTGCCCCGTGGGTGGTAAGAATATCCTGCACAGGACGGCTAGGAATAAGTTGACTATACATGGAAATGTCTGCAAACCATATAAATACCTCCCACTAAACCTCAGCTAAATGTATCACCAGCTCTACTTTCCTTAACTAGATCCCCAAAATGCTTACGGTCACTCCCCACCACCTGAAAGGGGAGATTGACTGAAAGAAATTCATAATGTAAAGAGAGTGCCTTATTCCACTGTGGTTCAAATCTGTCCTTTGCAAAATTTATAAAACCATCTACCATGTAAACAGATGGCTGGGGACCCTCCCAGGGCCTTGGAAGTGGTCCATCACATGGGAGCTCTGATATTTAGCTTCGTTTGTTTCATAATGCAATGCCTCTCCACCAAACAATGGAAGGCCACCAATATTTACCTAATTGGGAACAGCCAGTTGAGTTAGGTGGGTTTACAACAAAGGGAATAAATGAAAGATGGGCTTTTTCTATTTATAAGCTTCTGCTTATAATCATCAGCAAAACAGCCACACACAAAATAACTGCCAAAAATCTAACAAAACTACATGGCCAAAAGTGCAATTTAATGTAGAAGAAACTAAGCACAAATCACAACAAGGGGCAGGTGAAAAAAGAGGGTAGATGGATTAATCATAGGAGTTTTCTGGAGAAGGTGAGTTTGAAACAGCTTTTGTAAGGAATAAGGCATAGAAAGAAAGGGGAAAATGCATTTGAGGAAGGCCTGAAAGATCTAAATACATGAAAGAACATCAAATTGTGTATAAGGATCAGCTGAAAATTGACTGGCAAGGACTGTTCATGAAAAACAGCATAAAATTAAATTGTAGTGAGACTGTTTATGGTCAGAATGAAGCAACTAATGCACACATCTAGTCCACCAAGTTTCAGCAACTAGAAAACTACACACAAATATTATCTGAAATAGCTATTTTCAGTTACTGAACAACAGGCATTTCAGGCATGAGATCTCAGAGAGAAGAGAATAAAGTGAGGTGAGCCCTGCCATAACCTAGCCTTTTATTTCAGGGCATTTCCTGGACTAGTTTCAGGAAAGGGGAATTTAAGCAGAGTATGGCAGTCTCACTGATTCAAAGAGTCAGAGACTAGAGTTCAGGAAGGCTGAGGCAGCTGGATGGAACTTGTGAGACAGAGTACCAGAGTGAAAGAGCAACACAAAATAAGTTTCAGAAATCTGCAGAGGATCCTCTTGAATCTTTGGCTAAACAATAAGATGGATATGTTTAAGGTCCAACTCTATGAATTCTAGGAAATAATAATGATTAAGGAACGATAAATGATGGGACAATATAAGCTGAGCAACTGCCAGAACTTGCACAAGATTGGGAGATATTTGAGTTCAGGCCAGACAGAATGGAAAGACCTCATTGGATACTTGATGGATTCAGGAGAAATTCAGAAAGAGTATGCCTTATTAGTAGGGCTAAACTAGTCCTGGAGCAGAGGATACTCTAGATTCTTTTTTTAAAAAAAGCCTCAAAGTGATAGAGCTGATCTGAAATTAATTTAATTTATTGCCAGAGCACAAATCAGTAATCTTTAAAAAAAACACAAGAAAATTCAAGCTAATAATGGAATATTCACAATAGCCAGCATCTAATCAAAATTATTAGACATGCCATAAACAAGAAGTGTAACCCATAATGAAAGGGAAAATCAGCCAATAGAAGCAGATCTAGAAATGACAAAGATGGAATGGGCAAACAAGGACTTTAAAACAACTATTATGAATTTGTTCAAGCAATTAAGGGAAAACATGAACATAAATAAGTAAATGAAAATTATTAAAAGAAACAAATTAGCCACCTAAAGCTTAAAAAACCCCAATATCTAAAACAAAAAGCCCAATAGGCAGATTTAAAGGTAGATTCTACAATTACAGAAGAAAAAAATTAATAAAAGACATTATATAAACCCTAGAGCAAACTATTAAAAAAGTTATAGCTAATAAGGCAATAGTGAAAATAAAACAAAATACCAAATTTTTTAATTCAATAGAAGGGAGAGAGAAAGGAAAATAAAACAAATAATAAATGAAACCAATAAATCAATGGTGAACTGATTTAACACGGTCATATCAAGAATTGTATTAGGTAAAAATGGACCAAAATCATCTGTTAAGAGGTACTATTATACTTGGTTGAAAAGCAACATCCGACTATATGTTTTCTACAAGGCTTAATTTTTTAATACAAAGATACATATAGGTGAAAGTTAAAGGTTCACAAGACGAAACACTAGGCAAATATTAATTATAAAGCTAGAGTGGCTACTTTGATATCAGACAAAGTAGACTTCATGAAATATTTCCCGATTAAAGGGAAATATTTTATCATGATAAAAGGGTCAACTGATGAAGAAAACTTATAGCATTCAACATATATGCACCTAATAACAAAGTTTGAAAACACAAAAAGAAAAAAACTGACAGGACTGAAAGAAAAAACACAAAAATATAAAAGTATAGTTTGAGATTTTTAATATCCCTCTCTCAGTAATTGATAGAATGAAAGGACACAAAAGTTAGTAAGGATACAGAAGACTTGAACAACACTATCAACCAATCAAACTGAATTGATATTTATATATTTATATCAATTTATAGATATACTCCACACAGTCAACTCTGAAACACACATTCTTTCTAAGTGCACATAGGACATTTATCTTAGAGGACACAGGAGGGCACATATTGGGCTATAAAATATGTTTCAGTAAATTTAAAGATATTCAAACCCTAGAGAATATGTTATCTGACTAGACCACAATGTAACTACATTAAAAATCAATAACAAAAATATCTGTAAAATCCACAAATATTTAAAAATTAAACAACAAACTTTAAAATAACCTGTGGATTAGGTCAGAAAATAATTTGGGAAATTAGAAAACATGTTGAACTAAATGGGTTAGCTAGCTAGCTAGATAGATAGATAAAAATATGTGGATACAGTTAAGGAAGTACCTAGACAGAAATTTACAACTTTAATGCTTACATTAGAAGAAGAAAAGTTTTAAAATAAATGATCTAAGCTTTTACCTTATGAAACTGGAAAAAATAAACAGCAAAATAAACTTCAAGTAAATAGAAGAAAGGAAATAACATAAAAAAGAAATCTGTACAATGGAAAGTATGTAAATAGCAAAGAAAACTGATAAATTCAAAAGTTCATTTTTTAAAACAAAATTCTATGATGTAAATAAACTTCTAGTGGGAAAAGGATATGAATAGACAATTCTTAAAAAAAGACATTTATGTGGCCAGAAAACATATGAAAAAAAGCTCATCATCACTGATCATTAAGAGAAATGCAAATCAAAACACAATGAGATATCAAAACACATGCCAGTCAGAATGACTATTATTAAAAGGTGAAGAAACAATGGATGCTGGTGAGGCTGTGGAGAAATAGAAATGCTTTTACACTGTTGATGGGAATGTAAATTAGTTCAACCATTGTGGAAGACAGTGTGGCAATTCCTCAAGGATCCAGAACCAGAAATACCACTTGACCCAGCAATCCCATTACTGGGTATATACCCAAAGGAACATAAATCATTCTACTATAAAAACACATGCACACATGTTTATTGCAGCACTATTTACAATAGCAAAGACATGGAACCAACCAACCCAAACGACCATCAACGATAGACTGGATAAAGAGTATGTTGTACATACATACTGTGGAGTACTATGCAGCCATAAAAAGGAATGAGATAATGTCATTTGCAGGATCATGGATGAAGCTGGAAGCCATCATCCTCAGCAAAACTGACAAAGGAACAGAAAAGCGAACACCTCACATTCTCAATCATAAGTGGGAGTTAAATAGTGAGAACATATGGGCACAGGGAGGAGAATAACACACACCAGGGCCAGTGTGGGGGTAGGGGACGAGGGAAGGGAGAGCATTAGGACAAATAGTTAATGCATAAGGGGCTTAAAACC